CCCACACCGACACACACGCCCACCCACACCCTCCCAGCCACACCCCCACACCCACACCCTCTGTTAAGTTTCTGAACGTAAATTGAAGAAAAAGATGCGTCAACGTCTGACATGGATTGGAACAGTTTAGCTCTGTTTAGAGAAGATTAGAGTGACGATTAGCAACAACGGATTAAAAGAAAACTGAACGAATAAAACTACAGGTGTTCGTTTTCTATTAGTATATAATATTGTAATGCGTACTGAGGCGTGAAAACGTTTATGCACAAGAATAATTTTTGGAAAACTTCTTATTGGCAACAGGTAAGGATGACTATTATTATTATCTCTTAACTCTCGCGATGTCACGCTTTAATTCTATTATATCACGATGGCCAGGTGCTCGAAACCTTTGAATCATCTCTAATGCTTTTTCATAATATTCCAGTGCAGTTGAATATTTTTCAAAATTTTCATAAGCTAAACCAATTTTTCGTGTAGTTAAAACAACATTGGGATGTCCATTTGAGCCAAAAACATTTTGTTGAGCATATAGTGTTTCTAAATCATATTCTAATTCTCTGTCATACTGATGTTGCTTCCTATAAATGTTAGCAATTTTCTGGTAACAAGAAGCTATGTCATTATGTTCAGGTGGAAGCAGTTTTTGAAACATCTCCACTGCCATTTTATAGTAATCGACAGCGCTCTCAGGATCGTTTATTTCATCATAAACATTGGCAATTTTATCCATACTCCTCCCAATATTAAGATGATTGTTTGGAAGAAGTGTTTGTCTAATTCTAAGAGCTTGTTCATAATATTGTAAAGCACGAGTATAATCTTGTTTTTCATAATATACATTGGCAATGTTATTCACTACCGTTACTATGTCTTCATCTTGTGATTCGTTTGACAAACTGCGAAAATATTGAAATGCTTGGTCGTATTTACCCATTTCAAGAAGGAGTCTAACAGTCATAATTGGCAAGCTCACATTCTCCATTTGGTTCAATTTAATATATTCTGTGGCTATACGTCTTCCTTCATTTGTCGGTCGCAGTTCGATTATCCACAAGTTGTCGCCTTTGTGTTCTTCGACGGAGATGATTTTGAATGTTGCTCCGATATCAAACAAGACTTGTTTTTGACTTGGATGGGCGCTAAATTGAGATATGTCCGCAAAGACAACTGTTTCATTTGCTTGCAAGTTACATTCGATCACATAGAGAACGGACATGACGTTTCTCTGCTCCGTTGTTTTTGTAGCAAAAGCAATAGCTACATCTTTAGATCCAGTGGTAGAGAGATAGCCATGTGTAGCAATTAGATTACCTTCGCTTCTCGTCAGATTTTCTAGCTCTTTTTCATCCATCTTCTGTCCAAGGTAAAGCATTAGAATAGCTTCTTCTCGTTCTCGAAGTTTCTGGTACTCAGCTGCGAGATTGGCGGACAGATCAGAGATGAAGAATCGAAGTGTGTGCAGTTGTTCAATCGCTTCAGTTCTCAATGCCTTGTTAACCAACTTGTAGAGAAATGAATCTTTCGTGTACCATTTAATAGCATCTTCAGAAGTATAATCTCGTTCAAATTCTTCGACTAGCTCCAATTGATTTCTGTTTCCATGGTAATAATGACGACAGAATTCAACTAACTGATTCTTAGTATGACCATTTGTTAACATTGGTAAAATAACATCTTTGAATAGTTGAAACCAGATAAATTCTACCGATTCTTTCGATATATGTCTTGTAGAGTTTTCCCCATGTAGATCGTAGAAACTAAAAGCTTTCATTTGCTTTTCAACATTACTAATATTTTCTCGTATTGAAAGCATTAGATCCATACGTTCACGATAGATTCCAACGATTTTCCGAAACTTATTCGTCAGATCTTCGTACTTTTCTGGTTTTAGAGAGAAGATGAAGACAGAGTGTAGTTGACGTAAAGAATCAACTTGTCGAAGAATAGACTCGGTACATTTTCTACCTGGAGCGTTAAGAATAAGGACAACTTTTTCATCACTAATCAATTCGATAGAGCCTACACATTCTTGTTCGTCCGTGGGCAAAATGACAAAATGATTTATTTCTCTGAGTTTCTTTTGTGTTTCTTTAGTATCTTCGTCCATTACGATGTTTTCACCAAACCATACGAGTGTGATATCCTCCAGGTTTCGTTCGGGTGTAATAGATACTTGTGCAGTTGAAGAAGAAGCTGAAGAAGGATGCGGTTCTGTTGTTTGTTGAAAAGTAGCTGAAAGTGGATAGGCTGACGCAGAGGATGAGGTTTCAATTATGTTGGATTCTGTCTGTGGCTTTTGCTCTAATTTTGAGGAATTAGATAGAGAACGAGGAGATGATAATGTTTCTTTCGCCAAAGTAGAAGAAGAACTCGTTGTTATTTGTGACGTTGGTTCAGACTTCAAAGAAGTGGTCTCTAAGATTTCCGATTTGTTCGTTTCGGCAAGTGTCTGCTGTTTATCTGGCTTTTTCTCGTCCATGTTATGGCGAAAGTCAAGCTCGCATAAAATTCAGATTGTTTTGTGCTTGTACAACTTCACTTTATTCCACGAAGTCCAACAAAATTTATTTTATGTGAAACCGTGAAACTTGCTGTTCACAAAAAAAGTTAAAAAAGAGAAATATTTTCACTTTCTGGTAGAAATAAAATACTATGCTGAAAAAAAACAATCTTCATTTCTTTCTCTTATTACACTAATGGCATTTATGTGTACATACTAATACACTTTTATAACGTTCGAAAAAAAGGGTGTAGGTGTGGGGTGTGGATGTGGGTCTGGATCTGAGTATGGGTGTGAAGTGCGGGCGTGGGGTGTGGGGTGTGGATGTGGGTCTGGATCTGAGTATGGGTGTGAAGTGCGGGCGTGGGTGTGGGTGCGGGTGTGGGTGTGAGTGTGGGTGCGGATGTGGGTATGGTGTGTGGGTGTGAGGGGTGGGAAGTTACCGTTTCCAGGCCGTTACCCGGGAAAGGTAACGGTAACTGGTAGTGGGACATTTACCAGTTACCCAGGAACGGTAACGGACCGTTACCAGTTATCCTGGAATGGGATAACGGCCAGACGAGTGTCTGCCGTCATCAACTCCGTAGCCTCGGTTCTCAAGTCCTCCTATTGGGGGTACTATTGGGTCCTCAAGTCCTACTATTGCGTGTACCCTTGGGTCCCCCAGTACTACTATTGGAAGTGCTCTTGGGTCCTCACCTACTACTATCGGGAGGTACCTTTCGGTTGTAAGAGTCCTACTATAGAGGTACCCTTGGATCCTCTAGTCTTACCATACGGGGTACCAATGGGTCCTCCAGTTCTACTATACGGCGTACCCTTGGGTCCTCAAGTCCTGTTATACTAGAAGTTGCCAAGAAAATACGAAAGAACAGGCATCCTCAAATTTGAATGGTCATAAAAAGACCAATCAGATTATGAGATTCTGTTTCTCGGTAGTATATAGGGCGGAGTCCCACACATACACCCCTTATTAGTTAGGGCATGCTCAATAGCTCTAGGATCGCCCCGAACATGACTAGCACTTGTCCGAACAATAAGAAAGAAAAAGGCTACTGAAATATGATTGGCCGAAAAAATGGACCAATGAGTTTTTAAAAGGACTTTTCTTTCGTATTCTCAGGACAACTAGTAGTTATATTCGGACCGTCCCTAGGGTTATCGAGGGTGCACTATCGAATAAGGGGTATATGTGTGGGGCTCCGCCCTATATATCACCGTGAAACAGAATCTCGCAATCTGATTGGTCTTTTTTTTTGACCATTCAAATTTGAGATGGCCTGTTCTTTCGTATTTTCTTGGCAACTTCTAGTATAGTAGGGCTTGAGGACCCAAGAGTACGTCGTATAGTAGGACTAGAGGATCCAAGGGTACTCCCTATAGTAGCATTCTCAGAACTCTAGGGTATTCTTTGTAGTAGCATTCTCAGGACCCTAGGGTACTCCCTATAGTAGCATTCTCAGGACCCTAGAGTACCCCAAATAGTAGTACTTGAGGACTCAAGGGTACCGTCAATGGTAGAACTTGAGGACCCAAGGCTACCCCAATAGTAGGACTTGAGGACCGGGGCTACGGGGTTGATGACGGTAGACATTCGCCTGACCGTTACCCCCGTTACCGTTACCCGGGAACCGTAACGGTAACTTCCCAGCCCTAGGAGTGGATGTGGGTGTAGGTGTAGATGTGAGTGTGGATGTGGATATGGGTGTGG